CGCCTACCGTTGAAATGAACCTCGAGGTCATCTTGGCATCCCGAACGGCAGAGAGATGGCTCTAGCGAGGGGACGGGGGTGCGTTAAACACGAAGTCCTAGAGGGGTGACCAAGTAAGGCTCCCCTGCATTTTCTCAGAGGGGCCAGCTGAAGACTTCTGGGAGTCCATGGTGCGTTAAGTGCGTAAGCGGCATGCTCGATTCAGATTCACTCGAGCCGTATTGAAGCTCGTTCGAGCCAATCGTTCGAAGAAATCTCGAGCGAGCCAGTCATCGTTGTGACCCAGAGTCCCCTCAGACACTGTTCGCATGCCTTACGCATCTCAATCTTATCATCCTCCCTGTCATCACCTCCTCATTATCTGAACCCCGACTGTTCGCATGCCTTATGCATCTCAATCTTATCATCCTCCATGTCATCACCTCCTCATTATCCGAACCCCGATGTTGCAACATGGCGGGGGCCCGCCGAAGTCAACGCTTCTCCGCTGACTCCGCCGAGATGGCCCTTCCTTCGGGCCCCAAAAGCGCGGGCGCCCAGCAAGGCCCCGAGCCAGCGAGAAGGCATGCCCGCGACGACCGTCCCAAAAGCCCGCCCGATGGCCGCGTCGGGCCCCCTCGGGAACGCTCGGTCTTCAGGACCCGGGAGCGCGGGCGCAGCGTGATTTACGATAGATCGTGGCTCTGGGAGCGCGGACGCAGCGTAATTCACGAGGGAGCGCGGCCCTGGGAGCGCGGACGCAGCGTAATGTACGACAGATCGTGGCCCCGGGAGCGCGGACGCAGCGTAATTCACGAAGGAGCGCGGCCCTGGGAGCGCGGACGCAGCGTAACTCACGAAGGAGCGCGGCCCTGGGAGCGCGGACGCAGCGTAACTCACGAGGGATCGCGGCCCTGGGAGCGCGGACGCAGCGTAATTCACGGGGGAGCGCGGCCCTGGGAGCGCGGACGCAGCGTAATTTACCAGGGATCGTGGCCCTGGGAGCGCGGACGCAGCGTCATGGGCTGACACGCCATAGTTCACTTGGGAGCGCGGCCCTGGGAGCGCGGACGCAGCGTAATTCACGGTGGATCGTGGCCCTGGGAGCGCGGACGCAGCGTAATTTACCAGGGATCGTGGCCCTGGGAGCGCGGACGCAGCACAATCTACGAGGGATGGCGGCCCTGGGGTGAACTACGCTGCGTAGCGCGCTCCTGGGGCCACGATCCCTTGTGACCCTGGGAGCGCGCTGCGCCACCGACAACCGAGGGCCGAGTGAGCCAAACTGTTCGAGCTGCCGTACCCCGTACGTCGTTCGGGCAAGGTGCATTCGCCCTGTGTGTCCCCACGCGCCCCCCTGCCAGCTCGCCCTTTGCGCCCGCTCGCCCTTGTCGCCCTCTCCCCCCGCGCTCTGCCGCAGCACGGGAGATGACAGCGATAGGGTTCTGCTGCCATCTGGCTCCCAAGCGGTTTGGGCCGAAGCTCAAGAGGGGCATGCAACCTTGCGTGCTTACTCGCACACACGTGCGGGTCGCTTGGGAGTGTAGACAACACCAGGAGCATCTGAAAGGACCCTCGTGAGCTGCCCTGCGTCCGCCCTCCCTGGGCCACGATCCCTGGTAAACTAAGCTGCGGCCACGCTCCCAGGGCCACGATCCCTCGTAAATGACGCTGCGTCCGCTCCCCCAGGGCTCCCTATGGGGCATCCTCGGGCGTCAAGGCTCCTGGAAGTCTCCAAGGCTAGCGTTTCGCTCGAGGCATCCTCAACAAACTCTGCAAACCGAGCGTTTCGCTCGGACATCGGCAACAAACGAAAATGCGTAGTTCACCCTGTGTTGTATCGATCGGAATTTCAAAAACCAGCGTTTCGTTCGGGAGACCCTCAAAACAACAGCTCTTGACATGAACGGGAAACGCGTGAAACCGACGACGAGCTTTGCAAGAACGTGCAGCATCCGTCTCCAGACCCTCAACCTCCCCACTCGCGCTCCCCCATGTCAGGTGAAATTTACTTTCCGCACGAGTTCAGACGAGGCGCACCTCCCGCTTGCGCATCTCGGCAACCCGCAATCTCCCCACTCGCATTCCCCTAGGTAAGGTCGAGCTTACGTTCCAAGCGAGTTCAGACGAAGCGCCCCTCCCACTGGCGCATCTCGGCATTATCCGCCTCCAGACACCATCTCCCCACTCGAGTTCCCGTATGTCAGGTCGACTTTACTTTCCGCTCGAGTTCAGAAGAGGCGCACCTCCCACTGGCGCATCTCGGTATCATCCGTGACCAGACCAACCTATCTCACCACTCGCGTTCCCCCATATCAGGTCGAGTTTGCTTGCCGAGCGATTTCAGACGAGGCGCACCCCCCGCTGGCACATCTCGGCATGTTCCGTCCCCAGACCCACAACTTCCCCACTGGCGTTCCCCAAGTCGACTTTGCCTTCTGCGCGAGTTCAGACGAGGCGCTCCCCCCGCTGGCGCATCTCGACATGATCTGTGTCCAGGCCCCCAACCTCCCCACTCGCGTTCCCCATGTGTCAGGTCGAGCTTACGTTCCAAGCGAGTTCAAGCGAAAAAAAACCGCTGGCGCATCTCGACATTATCCGTCTCCAGATCCCCAACCTTCCCATTCGCGTTCTCCCATGTCAGGTCGAGTTTACTTTCCGCTCGAGTTCAGACGAAGTGCACCCCCCCGCTGGCGCATCTCGGCATTATCCGCCTCCAGACGCCATCTCCCCACTCGAGCTCCCGTATCTCAGGTCGAGTTTACTTTCCGCGCGAGTTCAGACGAAGCGCACCCCCCGCTGGCACATCTCGGCATTTTCCGTCCCCAGACTCCCAACCTCCTCTCTGGCGTTCCCCAAGTCGACTTTGCCTTCCGCGCGAGTTCAGACGAGGCGCACCCCTCGCTGGCGCATCTCGGCATGATCTGTGTCCAGGCCCCCAACCTCCCCACTCGCGTTCCCCATGTGTCAGGTCGAGTTTACGTTCCAAGCGAGTTCAAGCGAAACGCACTCCCCGCTGGCGCATCTCGACATTATCCGTGTCCAGACTCCCAACCTCCCCACTCGCGTTCCCACATACCAGGTGGAGTTTACTTTCCGCGCGAATTCAGACGAGGCGCACCCCCCGCTGGTGCATCTCGGCATTATCCGTCTCCAGACCCGCACCCCCCCCCCTCGCGTTCCCACATACCAGGTCGAGCTCACTTTACGTACAAATTCAGACGAGGCGCACCTCCCGCTGGCGCATCTCGGCATTTACCGTCTCCAGACACGCACCCCCCCCCCTCACGTTCCCCTGTGTCAGGTCGAGTGTACTTTCCAAGCGAGTTCAAACGAAACGCACCCCCCGCTGGCGCATCTCGGCATGATCCGTGTCCAGACCCCCAACCTCCCCACTCGCGTTCCCACATACCAGGTCGAGCTTACTTTACGCACGAATTCAGACGAGGCGCACCTCCCGCCGGCGCATCTCGGCATTATCCGTCTCCAGACCCGCACCCCCCCCCCTCGCGTTCCCACATACCAGGTCGAGCTCACTTTACGTACAAATTCAGACGAGGCGCACCTCCCGCCGGCGCATCTCGGCATTATCCGTCTCCAGACCCGCACCGCCCCCCCTCGCATTCCCCTGTGTCAGGTCGAGCTTACTTTCCGCACGAGTTCAGACGAGGCGCACCTCCCGCTGGCGCATCTACGATGACGACGACGACGACGACGATGACGACGGCGACGACGGCGATGATGACGACGACGACGATGACGATGACGACGACAGTGACGACGACGACGACGACGACGACGACGACAATGACGAGGAGAAGGACGACGACAACGACGATGACGATGATAATGGCAACGACGACGACAACAACAGCGACGACGACGACGATGCAAGTTTTGATGATGTATCGAGCGAAACGTACACTTTTGAACGAAATGGTTGAACAACCGTTGCTTTTTTACATATGTTGCCTCTTGGGCCCTCTTGGGGGTCTTCCAAAGAATGCCTCCAATCTATTTTGCACAGCACATTTTGTGGAGGTTGTCTCAGGCGGGAGCCTCATGTTTGAGAACACGACGAATTCGTAAGCTCCCTGAACATCTCCGTGTTTCGAGGATGTCTCGGGCGAGAGCTACATTGTTTACATAAGAGGTCGAATCACAGCTCTTTCGGCATCTATTCGTTCCGAAGATGTCTCAGGCGGAACGCCCATTTTTGGAGATCGGCGAATTCCGCGAGAGATTTCAAGATCTCAATGTTTCGAGAATGTCTGCAGCGAGAGCTTCATTTGTAACATAAAACGCCCTAACATAAATCCTCCGACATTTCCATTTTGTGAGGATGTCTCAGGCGATATGGCCATTCTGGGTAACCCGCCAGGGTTCCGCGGAGGAGCAACCCCGAGCCCTTCCCCTCCTGCACCTCCCCAATTGAAAAATACTTCCCCCCTGGGCCGCAACCAACGTCCATCGCGCGATCATTCGAGTCTTAGCGCGCTTCCCACCATCCGCCGGTCCATCTCGAACTTGTTATCTATAGCAAATCATTCCGTCGGCCCGTCAAGTCGAAACCGGGGTTAAACCTACTAAATCAGAACCCTGGGCCCCGGCACCCTTTCCAGGAAACAGGCCCGCCAGGTGGACGACCGGGGAGAGCAACGGCAGCAGGGGGCAGAAGAGGGCCGAAGTCGAAGGAAAACGCCCAGATCGAAGAAACCATATCGTTAGAGACCTGGGCGCGACGACAGCGACGACCTGCTCGATGCCGAGACGGCGGCGGCTGCCCGCCGGCCGCGAAAACGCGGCGCTCTCGGCTGCGGCGCCCGCTGCAAGCGAGAAGGGCTGTGCTGCCAGCCGCACGGCGTCTCGCCGTCGCCGTCGCCGTCCTCGTCGACGTCGTCGTCGTCGTCGTCCTCGTCGTCGTCGTCGTCGACGGCCGAAGACCGACGGCCGACGGCCGATCGGCGGCCGACCGGCGGCCGACCGGCAGCCGTTCGGCGGCGCGGGACCGCCGCGCGGGC